TAAACACATAAATAAATGGGGAACAGACAAATCTCCCATGCAGAAGAATTCCAAATAATTATGAAGATACTCTGCCCTCAAACAGGTAGAGCATAACTTCTCACTCCTACAGGTTGGGCTGCACATAGTAGAAAGGGAAGGGATAAAAGTAACTTCGCAGTGGAGAAACCCGACAGACACTACCTCAACTAGGTGATAAAGGTTAGATTATAGTATGTACCCTTGATATAATGTGATGAGAAGGACACTTTACAGTACGTACCCTTGATACAATGTGATGAGAACCAAAACACCCATTATCGATAGATTCATGAGAAAAACACCAGGCAAACCCCAATTGAGGGACATTTCACAAAATACATGATGTATACACATTGAAAATATCAACATTATCAAAAGCAAGGAAAAATCTAAGAAACTATCACAGTCTAGAGGAACCTCTACTCTAGATAGGATCCTGGAACAGAAGAGGGTATTAGGTCAAAAACTAAGGAAGTCAGAATAAAGTACGGGCTTTAGTAAATCAAAAATATATAAATGAAAATTGTATACTATTTATAAATAAGTCGTCTGATATATATTAATCAAGCCTATTGAGAGCCTAGCACTGAGATAGGGCTGAAGACACAAAGAGAAAAAGATAAGCGCCCGATGCTCAAATACAGTTATTCATGGAAAATAAACTATGATACAAAGGGCATAAGACCACCTCCGGGAAGCAGTACGAAAGGCCTAGGGAGGGAAGAATCTGTCAAACGGCTTAACGAGTTTATGAACGAAATGAATCGACCCACCTAACCCAGCACGGGAGCCCTTCCCTCCACCCTCCCAGGTCACCCACACGCCACCTTTTCCCCTCCCATATCGTCTGCTCCGAATTATCCAATCGAAGGTCGGCTCTGAGTAGGTCTATCATGCGCGTGCGCATCACCGGTTCGACGCTCCTTCCCATCGATGCGCTCGGAAGCAACTTCTTCAGCCTGGTCGCTGCAGGCGTCGACGTTACCACCGCTGCCTCCGCCGCCGCCATTTTGACGGCGGAAGAGTCGGGTTCTGGGACAGCTGGAGGCGGCGGTGGTGACTGGTAGGGATGGTTTCCGCCCGCGTTTGCCCCTCCAAATCCGCCTGTCTTTGGGCCACAGCCCTCCGTATTGCCTCTATTCCCACAGGGCCCCTGTCATTGTTTTCAGTTGTCCCGTCACGCCGTTCTCAGGCTCTGTCTGTTCTGCCGCTTCTTCACTTTTCCAGCTCAGCCCAAACCTTTGTTGTCATCATAGCCCTGACTTATGTTAAAGTACCTGCTTCGACCCTCGGGACTCTGAATCCAGGCCGTTTGCTCCCTGTTCCCCGCCCCGATCTAGTCTGAGTTGGTTTTCAGCGGACAGAAACCGGGAGGGCCCCGAGCTGCACAGCCTCCCCGGGCAGGGATCCGGGCCCCGTAGGGACAGGGGCGAGTGCTGGCCTCCCGAGGTTACGCCTGAGCTTGGACCTTGGTCCTGTCTTGGTGGAGGCATACACAGTAGGAAATAGTGACATTACGCGAGCTGTGTTATTAGAGTTTAATCTGTTAACTAGCCTGTTTTGTTTTGTCTTGTCTTTTCCCAGGAATAACTTTACAAAAGGAAGGGTATTTTGCGATTGTTCCCTCCGCTAGAAATGGCCAATGTGAGTAAAGTCGTCTCTTAAGAATCAGTAGTATAGTAAACTGTTTTGGGAACTTGTTAGGAAATGGAGGGACGGGTTTAATCATGATGGCAGTGGTGGCGTAATATTAGACTTAACGTATCAAAAAGGTGAAAGGAACCAGGGGGTGCGAAGTTATGTTGTTATGCTTTGAAGGTAATTTGACCACAAACATTCTCTCAAATACTTACATACTTATTCTCTGATTTCCTTTTTATAGACAGAAATTCAATGCAGGGAACCTTTCATCATTTTTAAAAGACATTATTTCAGAAAATATTAAGAATCTATTTTTAAGCTCTCCCTCCCCCTTTTATCTCTTTGGTTAGCTAAACTGAAGGTTTTGTAGCAGTTTCAGTATAGGAAGTGACCTTCCAAATCCTACAGAATAAGAACAGGGGATATTATTTACACACACCAGAGATATTTACTGACTATAAGTGCCCAGTGATTAATTAGACACATCCTACCATGAGGAGTTCATATAGTAGAGGGGCATAAGACATAGATGAAAACAGCTGCAATAAAAGTAGAAAGTAAGAGATTTTTTAAAAAGCTGTACAAAGGTACAGTGCAGATTTAGAGTTTTGTAAAGAGTAAGGTAGAGGTTTGGGATCACTTGATAGGAAAGGAATTTAACTTGAGTTTTGAAAGNACACACCAGAGATATTTACTGACTATAAGTGCCCAGTGATTAATTAGACACATCCTACCATAAGGAATTCATATAGTAGAGGGGCATAAGACATAGATGAAAACAGCTGCAATAAAAGTAGAAAGTAAGAGATTTTTTAAAAAGCTGTACAAAGGTACAGTGCAGATTTAGAGTTTTGTAAAGAGTAAGGTAGAGGTTTGGGATCACTTGATAGGAAAGGAATTTAACTTGAGTTTTGAAAGATGGGAGGGCTTTTGATATAAGGTTTGGGTAGGAAGAGTGGAGGAGTGTATTCAAAGAACTTCCAACTCCATTCCTTTCAGAAATAGTCATTTCTGCCTGTCTGAATGTAAGATGTGTGAAAGAGATTAGTTGGAGATAGATTGTGAGGTTGGGACCAAGTAATAGAAATCCTTGAATGCCAAAGCCAGTAATTTAGACTTTATTCTTTAAATTGTGGTGATTTAATCAGAACTGCGTGTTAAGCATATTAATATGGTAGCAATTAGCCTGGATGGTATTCCTCTAATTATACATGATATAGTAGAGACTAAAGGTGTGACTATAGAGACAAATCATAAAAATAGATCACCAATCTTGGCCAAGTTTTAATGTGAATTTTTCCCTGTCATAACTTGCACAGGAAGGAGATGTTGTAAAAGAAGGACATGGTATCTTCAAAGGAGAGAAATTGTTTGAAATAGAATAGAATGCTAATACTTGACATGGCTTTATTTTGGCTTACCTGAATAAATTAGTTCAGTAGGGTGAATATTTTGGAAAATATTTTTATAAATCCCTTGTTAGAAGTTCATATTAAAATAAATTTAAATTTTAGTATTCAAATGTACTTTAAAAGTTTGTGTTAATTTGTATGCATTGTAAATTCTGAGCAGGTGTTATTAATGAAATGTGCACATGTGTGTCTTCAACAGTTTAGTTAACCTACGTAGCAAGGGTCTTAAATGCTTATGCTTGAGTCTAGACAGATAATTAAGAGGCCTTGGTGGGGCCTCTTGGGGGGACTGTTACAAACTAAAATATACATTTCTAATATAAAGGGAGCAGCCTTCCCTTAGCCATAGTGATTTATTGCTAACAAATGCTATTTGGGTATGTGAATCCATTGCTGCTGTATCTCCTGAGTTTTCAAGAAAAGCCAAAAACCTGGATGTTTTGTATGAAATCTTGTAATTTGTCAATGTTGGTATCCAGTTCAAATTTCTTGTAACACTGTGGGCCACACAACAATGTCTGTGGATGGATGTGAATGCACTTTGTCGACCACCAGTTTTCAGTCTCTGGAACAGACCTTGTATTCTCCTCACATGACCAAAATCAGGACCGAGTTCTAAGACAGTGCCCAAAAGGCTATTTCTCTTTATATATAATAAGTATTTTATGATAAAATCTTAATAGCTTATCATCTTCCCAAGTCTAGAATCCTAGGTCCATATGAAGTTAAGCATGTATAAAATACACACTTATCTTCAAACTAAAATAAATTCACTTGTAATTTTTTATTTATTTATTGGCTGTCACTTTTAATTATTATATTCACCAGTTAACTCAATATCGTAAAATCTGTAAAGTTGTGACAAAATATTCTACTTCCACAGTAAGAGATTTGAGAATCTTATAGGTTAAAGGGTAAGGTTTGAAACAAATTAGTACTATCATCAGTTATCCCTTTCATTAGGTGAATTAAATAATTTTGCCATTAAAATTAAATCTGGTAATGGGTTTTCTTAGGCTGGGAACAAAACTCATGTTTTATTATATAACTTTTGGTAAAAGGTTACCATCAAGGAAAAAATGTCAAAACAGAATCTAATGTCCTCAGTAATCAGACTAAAATAATTGTTAATATTAAGCAGTTTCCAAAATAATTTGGATAGTCTTTTCTTTTTCTTCTGTTTTTGTTTGTGAAGCAATGTGAGTATGAATATGATTGCAGATCATATTTGAATAATCCTACTAAAACTAGTGTTAGTGGTATATAGAATTTTTGTTGAAATTAAGCAATGAATCTAAAGCACTTAGCACACTGGCCCCATAATCGCTAACATCTATTCACTTTTACATGCTTTTAAATGCATATTTCCCCCCTTCAGATAATCTTTTATTGTACCTTTTATTATTTTGAAACTTTGCTCAAAATATTTTTGAAATTTTAAATTGCCTATGATCCTGAGGTATATTCTGTTAAATATCTTCAGTTGTAAAGGCAAATTTATGTTATAGAAACACCCAGAAGTCGGAGTTTGTCTAGTAAGTAAAAAGCCAAATAATTATCACTTTTGTCTCTTTGGATGGGTTGTGTGTGGACCCCAAGAGAGTATGCTTAAATTTTCAGGTGGGCAGGATGCTCTGGAGATAGACTTTGTGTTCTAGAGACATATATCAGAAAGGAAGTTATATTTATCCAAGTCTTGAAGAGGAGTAGAAATTTGTCAGGCTTAGAAAGAGAGGGAAAAAGGCAGAATGCAGAGAAATATAGGAAATGTTGGGGAGATATTTTTACGTGATTAAAGAGTAGAATAAGGGAAGGGAGGGTAAAATTTGTGAGAAACTATGTCAGAGAGATAGAAAAACAAGTTAGGATGTGCTCTCTTATACTTATGGTGAGCAATAAAGTAGTAAAGAACAAATAGGTTGGATTTCAGAATACTATGTGAAAAGGAAGAAGAATGATTCCAAAGTATCAAATGGCTGGACTAGTACAACATCCTGGTACCTAGTTTTCATACCACCTCTCTACCCCTACTTCAGTCCTTTCTCTATATTGCCCTCAGTGGTACATTCCTTAAAGTATTCCTTATTTTCAGTCAGTTTACTTTGACTTTTCCCTGCCTACAGATTAAAATTCTGCTTTATTATCTTGATGTAACAGTCCCTTTACTATCTGTGTCAAAGATAAAACCCTTTATAGTTGCCCACAAGTTAACTTTCAAGCTTACTTTTTACCGCATTCTCTTATACCCACCCTCAATCAACTTGTCAGTCTTTTGAGTATATGTTTATGACTACCTTTGTTCCTGAAAGTCACTCATTGAAATGTGCCTTTCCCCAGAAAATTTCTACTATTTCTTGAAAACCTAGTATTTCCTCCATGAAACCTTTTGCCTACTCTACCAAGGATCTCTTAATAATAGCATTTCACAGATGATAATATACTGTTTGGTCTTTTATCTTTTCCATTAAACCAATTTCTTTTTTTTTTTTTAATGTAAAGGACCAGATGGTAGATATTTTAGATTTTGTGGGCCTTAGAGTCTTTGTTGCAACTACTTAACTCTGCCATATGGTGTGAAAGGTATGGCAGGCATAGACAATAATAGTCCTCCCCTTATCCACAGGGGAAACCTTCCAAGATCCCTAGTGGATGCCTGAAACCCTGGATAGTACTGCACCCAGTTGCTGTCCATCGGAACATGTTTCTGTTCATGTCTTCTACCCACAAATTCAATGCCTTTTCCATTTTAACTATGTAGTTTCCACTCACTGTGGCTGTAACTTTCGTAGTTTGAGGTGTGACAGCAAAACTAGCCTGAATTTCTTTTTCTTTCTTCACAATTTCACTGTTAGAAGATTCTTACCTTAGGTCTTAGAAATCTCAGCATGCAATTTTTTTTCTTCCCTTAATAAGTCAAGAACTTTCACTTTTCCTCTTAAAGGAAACACTTTACTGCTTCACTTTGCATATCAGTATTGCCAGCATCACTACTCCACACTTTGCATCATTAAGTAAAATATGAGTCACTTGAACATAAACACTGTGGTACTGTGACTGTCAGTCTGTAACTGAGACAGCTACTTAGTGACTAATGAGCAGGTAGTATCTATAGCTTGGATGCACTGGACAAAGGGATGATTCATGTCCCGGGACAAAGCAGGACTGAGTGAGATTTCCTCACATACCTCATAACTGCACACAATTTAAAATTTAAGTGAATTGTTCATTTCAGTTGACTGTGGGTAACAAACCATGGAAAGCAAAACCATGGACAAGAGGCGACTGCTGTACATAAGCAGATGGGTATGGCTGTGTTAATTTAAAAATTTATTTACCAAAACAGTGGTCTGTATTGGGAAATACTTTGCAACCCTTCATTATATTATTCTGACCCAAGTATTTTGCAAAAAGTATATGTAGGAAAGATATTTACACATTCGTCCATTATAACCCCAGAATCTAGGAAATGAACATAAGATCAGAAAATGTACCGCAAAGGTATGTGCCAGAATGGAGGAAAGGGGACATTGCCATCAAACCAAGAGGAAAGAATGGCATGGGATGTTATTAGTGCAATTTATAGCAGAAAAAGAAGAAAAGAGAAAGTAAATCAGATTTGGTCCACGGAGAGGTTTTGAAAGTTCTCTTTTTTGAGGATAGAAGAATCTTACTAGTGGTGCTACCTTTTTAGTGTTGTAGCTAAGTAAGGCACATCTGAGAGATTCCCATTCTCTCGTGTGGCAGTCTTGAATTCTAGGCTTTATTGAAAAAGACATACACTTTTACTCAAAAAAACTTATTTTTTTTTTAAATATTTGTCTTTATTTTTTAAATCATAAATACAGAATTCTTTTTTTTTTTTTGAGACCGGCCACACAGTGCTCAGCCAGTGAGTGCTGTGAGCACACCGGTCATCCCTATATAGGATCCGAACCTGCGGCGGGAGCGCTGCTGCGCTCCTAGTGCCACACTCTCCCAAGTGCGCCACAGTGAGCACACCGGTCATCCCTATATAGGATCCGAACCTGCGGCGGGAGCACTGCTGCGCTCCTAGTGCCGCACTCTCCCAAGTGCGCCACGGGCTCGGCCCATAAATACAAAATTCTTGTCACATAGTAGGTATTCAATAAAAGTGGAATGTATATTGCTTTTAAAAGATGTATCATAATTTGAAGATAGGCCAGATAATGTCTAGGTATGTGTAACATTAATATCCAGAATACATAATTTTAATTTTTGTGTCATTCTTAGGTGCTCTGTAACAGAGCCAGACTGGTTTCCTATCTCCCAGGATTTTGCTCTTTAGTTAAAAGAGTTGTCAATCCCAAAGCTTTTTCAACTGCAGGATCTTCAGGTTCTGATGAGTCTCATGTGGCCACTGCACCTCCAGATATATGTAAGTAAAAGGTATTAGTACTTTACTTATATCACTGTTTCAAAAAAATTTTGAGTTTTGTTCCCTCTAATATTTCTTAAGGTTTTACAGATTTTCTAAAATTGTATTTATTCCATTGAAAATAAGTCAGAACTCTTCCTAAATATGTATTATCATAAATCTACAATGTAAAACAAGTAAGAATGAATGAATATTGGTTTCTAAAATTTATTTTCTTGAACTTTAGTTTCTTTTTATATGCAAACACACATAATCGTCCCCGAAACAAATCTCCTTTTGATGCTATTAAACCATGTTACTACTTCCTGCCATTCTTTGCTAAATTTCTTAAATGTAGCTGCCCTTTTTATGTATTTATTCAATCAATAACTTACTTGCTGTCTACAAAGTCTACTTCTAATCCATTTTGCACACCACTGTCGTGCTAATCATTCCAAAATATTGTAATTTCTTGATAAACCTTGGTTATCTCACTACTTTCAGCAGCAGTTCCCAAATTATCCTCAAAGCTATGAATCACTGTTCAAGATTTTTTTTTCAAGGGTTCTGTAAGTTTAAGAAATGCTACCTACCATATTTCTATCTTGGAGGTTTATAATGCACACAAAAATATTAAAGGACCTTAGAAACTTAACCTAATGTGTCTTAAAGGTATCATGCATGGAATCATTTTCTTATGGAACTTATTACTTACAAGTTATTTGTGTTTACTTGGGCATTCCAACATGTTCTGTACAGGGATTATCTGGGAGCTTGTTAGAAATGCAGAATCTGAGCCCCACTCCAGACCTGTTAAATCAGAATCTGCTTTCCATCTTGCCCTGTTTTTCTTTTATAACTCCATCTCTGATGACTCCCTAAATTTATATCACCTGAAGACTAACCATATATGTATCATAAATGAAAGATTTGATGTTCAGATTATGTAAAGAGTTCATATTCTGAATATATATGGAATTTTTATAAATTGATAAGAAAAATTTTTATAGATCAATAGAAAACCAACCAACAAACAAAAGGATGTGAAATAGGCCTTTCACAGAAGAGAACACCTAAATGACCAGTAAGCATATAAAGATGTACTCAAATCCCCTATTAATATGGGACACTTATTTTCTCTAAAGAAAAGTAGAGACTGTTAGACCTGAATAGTCTTTAAAACACATCTTGTTCAGAAATATCTAACAGATCTTATCTTATGAACTTACTCCGGTCTATCTAGTCGATTAGTGGCTGTCTAGAGCTTTGTTACACAGCATGATCTGCACCAGTATCATCTGGGAACTTGATGCAGAATCTTGAGCTGCACTCCAAACCTGTTAAATCAGAATCTGCTATTTAACAAGATCCAAGATGATTCTTAAGTACTTCAAGAAAAAGTTTGAAAAGCCTTTGGCTAGAGTGTTTGCGTTGAGAATTTTGAGACAGTGTCTAGGTTCAAAGAGTTCTGTGATTGATGGGTGATGTCTGTCATAAGCATGGAAGAGAAGTATGCTGGCACTCATGATCTAGCAATAAGTTAGCCATATTGACATGGCTGTTTTCAGTCACTCAGTTCTGGCAGGGTATTAAAAAAACAGTGTCTAGGTTCAAAGAGTTCTGTGATTGATGGGTGATGTCTGTCATAAGCATGGAAGAAAAGTATGCTGGCACTCATGATCTAGCAATAAGTTAGCCATATTGACATGGCTGTTTTCAGTCACTCAGTTCTGGCAGGGTATTATAAACTAATTATTGCCAAGTAATGTGCACAGGAGTTGTCTCTCCCTTTTTCTAAACCAAACCCTACTCTAGTAATTATTAGTTTAATTTTGAATTTTTTATAAGTTAGTATATTTGTTAAGTTTTAAGTGAATAATGTGGTCTATTTGGCTGAATTTATAATCCACATTAACTTGTGGCTGTTAAAAATAGCATTGTGTTACATAATGTACAACTTTTTCCCCAGCCCATTAATGTTGTGTACCACCAAGGAATAGCAGCTGAATGCCCTTCCCCAAGGATAACTACTCTTAAGTTTCGTGTCTTTCCTTTTAGATCTTTTTTTCTCTTTATTTAGAAGCATTAATATGAGGATATAAAATAAATGTTGTCATACATGTTATTCTTTGACTTAGCTTTTTCTCTTCATGCAGTATATCCTGGACTTCATTCAGTGTCAGTACATAAAGGTTTACTGTATTCTTTTTAATAACCGTCAAGCATTCCGTAGTATAGATTACAGTACTTTATTGAATCCTTCCCTAGTAGTGGACTTGCCTATGAGCCGACAACTGGTTGCTTTAATTAGTGTTTTGGAAATAACATGAAACTAACTAATTTATATTCACACAGGAAAGCAGATTTCAAAGATCTATCTTTTAGGTAAAAAATAAAAATAGGTAATTGTAAGAACATTCTTTCAGTTTACTAATATGCTGGACTATTAAGAAGAAAATGATACATTTTGTTATTGTTCTTCAGGCTCTCGAACAGTGTGGCCTGATGAGACTATGGGACCGTTTGGACCTCAGGATCAGAGATTCCAGCTTCCTGGGAACATAGGTTTTGATTGTCACCTCAATGGGACTGCTTCACAGAAGAAAAGCCAGGTTCATAAAACTTTGCCTGATGTTCTCGCAGAACCTTTATCAAGTGAAAGACATGAGTTTGTGATGGCACAATACGTGAATGAATTTCAGGTAAATTGTTAATATCATTTATTGTGTCTTTCTAATTATTAATGTTATATTACTTTTTGATTACTATGAGCACATTGTTTTCATTGAAAAAGCAAAAAAAAATAAAATAAAATAACTTAATTCCAGTATATACAAAAGCAACATTATAGCTTTATAAAACTTGGCGTAGTGTTTGCAATGTAATATTTTTTACTTAACATTAGATTATAGTCTCATTTAGGTATTAAATCTAGCTACTTATTCCAAATATAGATAATTTAATTATTTCTGTGTTACTGGAAATTTAGGTTTCCTGTTTGTATAAACGGCAATTATAATTTGTGTATAGACCTAATTCTAGCCGATTTTAGACTCTTCTAGCCATTTAAAAGCTTAAGAAAACTTTGAGATCTCTGAAATTGTTCACATATAGTAAGCTAAAAAGGGAAGAGTTATAAAAAGGTTTTTTATGTTTAAGCAATTTCTGAAGGTTGTTGGGGGGAAGTGAGTTTTTAAAATGGGCATTGCATCATTGCTCACTCAAGTAGAAAACTACCTGCATTTCAGGGTTTCTGTCAAACCCCTGATGTTTATCATTTTTCACATTTCCACATATTTTTTATGCTGACTTTTTTTTTTATCAAAGCCATATTGTTAGAAGCAGCAATCCCTCATGATTATTATGATTCTATCAGATGATCTGACATTGGGACACAGTTGACCTCCCCTGTCTTTTTTATCTCAGATAATTCCTTATCACTCTTCTTGGCTCCTTGTTCCTCCTCTGCCTGACCTTTAAATATTTCCCATAGGTTTCTGTCCTTCATCCCATTTTATTTACTGCTTGGTCTCTTAATCCCTTGGCTTCTGCTATAGGCTTGTTTTTATAATTCCTAACTCAGTATTTCTATTTCTGACATTTCTGGCTCTGTATTTCTATTTGTTTACTAAACATCTTTATTTGGATGTCTCGCAAGTTCCCAGATTTTGCATGTCTAATACCAAAGTAGTCATTTTTTCTTTCAAAACCTATTCTTACTCTCATATAACTAATAATATAAATGGCATAACCATCCCCCCCCTCCATTCTCCATCATACCCCCATAAGTACTGTCAAAGTCACATTGTTTCCATCTCTAAATTTGCTCCTAAATTATTAGTGTCCTTTCAGTTCTCTGCTAGAGTTCAAGGCTATTTTATCTTACCTGGATTCTTTATAGGCATTTAGTGTGATGGACCATGGAGATAGAATAAATCTGGATTCAAAGGTTGGTTCTACCACCAACTTAATTTTTTGACCTTGAGAAAGTTACTAAATCTTACCTGGATTCTTTATAGGCATTTAGTGTGATGGACCATGGAGATAGAATAAATCTGGGTTCAAAGGTTGGTTCTACCACCAACTTAATTTTTTGACCTTGAGAAAGTTACTAACCTTTCTGAGGTTCTGTTTCTTTCTATGTAAATGGGGATGAGGATGATAATCTCTAGTCCACAAGATTGCTGTGAGGATTAAATGTGAAAATGTATGTAAAGGACTTAAATACACTAAATGATCAATAAGTGTTGACTGTTAACTGATCTATCATCTGCTCCACCTCATTACCATACAGCCACCATGCCAATGCTAACACTATCATTGGCTTCTTATCTTAGATTTTGCTATTTCTCATCACTTACAGACTAAAGTCAAAATTCCTAATGTAGCATGAATAGTCTTTCACTGGTTTGATCTCTTACCGTTCCCACCTTCTCTCTCACTTATTTCCTACTTTCTCTACACTACAACCATGACATACTTTCATTTTTTTTTTTAATACACCATTCTCTTTCACCATTGCATGCCTTTGCACTATTATTGTCTCTTGCTGGACTGTTTTCCCTCCTGAATTCCTAGCCTGTGTTTCATCTGTTCTTTACCAATCAAACACATGCATTATTTAATATGTAGCTCAAATGTGATGATTTCAACCTTTTCCTTATTCCTCCCAGCAAAGCAAGTTTCTCTCTCATTTATGCCCCAGAAGACTTTCTTCATAATTCTATGGCGGTTTTTGTATTGAATTGCATTTACTTCTTTATCATTATGTTTCTTCTACTAGGTTTGATATACATGAGAGTAAAGCCTGGATTTTTATCATTGTAGTGCCTCCTCCCATCATAGAGCCTAATGTACAGTAGGCTTCCAGTAAAGTTCAGTTGAATAAAAGCCTCTAAGCTTTCCTGTAGGAGAGGCTGCATTATTTAATCATGTTATTTTGTACATTAGTGCCGGAGACCAGCTCCAGTCGAGTTGGGGGCCCTTGAAAAAGGGATGAGGAGTCGGCGAAAATAACAAACACAGGCAGAGACCTTGGTTCCTTTGAAGCACATTCTCGTTCTGTGGGCTGTCAGCACTGTTGCAGCCAGAGCAGCTAAAGCAGCTGAAGCAGCCTTCAGGCTGAAAACAGCATTTTTATTTGTTACACAACACGGGGGGGTTAATGTGGGCATTTTAACTACATAAATCTTTAAAATTATTAAACCAATAGTTAAACGGAAACTTTTTCTTAAAAATACATCAGTTCTCATAAAATTAATAATCCACAAGGTTAAATAAAACTCAGTGGTCAGCCAGTTCTTTCTGGTGATTATATCTGTTGTGGTCAATTAGTCCGTGACTCGCTGTTCTTGACATTTCTCACCATTGTGTTTCTTTTCTTCTTGACCTCGTATTAATCTTAAACTTTATTACTACCAGCAAGCATAAATTATATGTCTGACTCAAAATTGAGACGGCAGCGATTGTGGTTACAAAGTGTTAAACAAACCTTATATATATTTTTAACTTTTAAGTACTATAAAAAAAATTCTAACAATTATATTTAAAACTTATAAATCTAACAATTAAACTTTTAATCAACTAAAAATTTAATGATTCTCATATTTCTATAGGCATGAACCTATTGTTCATTTGGAA